CAGGCTGCTGCGTGGCGTTTGCGGGGTGGCGGGTGGTGTGGGGTCGGCATGGGACCGGCTGGACGAGGGGGTGGTGGGCGCAGGATCCGACAGGGTGGGATCCGAGGCGGGGATGATTGGGTTGGAGGTGGGGGCGTATCTGCTACGATCTGGCGCGGATCTCGGGAGGATGGGATTGGGCGGAGGTGCGGGTGGCGATCCCGAGGATGGGGCAGAGGGATCGGACGAGGTAGGTGGGATCTGCATGGGATTTTCTGCGGCACGTGGAGGGGGTGTGGCCGGCGTGTAGGGGAATTGGTTTTCGTCAAAAATAACGTGAGGGGAGGTGATTACCTTGCGCGTGTTGAGGTCAAGGCAACGATAGCCTTTGTGCTCGCGGGGGAGGCCGAGCAGCACACAACGACGTGACCTAGGAGCTAGTTTGTTGGGGTGGTGGCATAGAGGTTTGGGTAACAAAGGCATCCGAAGGTGCGGAGGTGGTCGTAGGTGGGTGCGATGCCATGGAGCATGAAGTAGGGCGTGTTGTTGGCGATGGCGCGGGAGGGCCTGAGGTTGAGGAGGTGAGTGGCAGTGTTTAAGCTCTCGACCCAAAACTCTGGTGGCATGTGGGCTTGGAGCAACATAGTGCGCATGATGTCGTTTGTGCTGTGTATGGCGCGTTCGGCCTTGCCAGACATGTTGGTCATGGCGGCGTTGAGCATGTGAGCGTTGTCCCATGAAGGTGCAGGCGGGGCGCCGTACGGTGTAGGTGGGCGCCGTAGATCATGGGGTACGCGTGATGAGGCACCCCGGGGCGTGGGCCGAGGACACCCGCGGCGTTCGGAGGAACCCACGGAGCGCGGCCAACGGGCGGAAAGGGTGCGCCCCACGGAGCAAAATAGCCCATCCAACGCTGCTGGGATGGGGCGGTGGGTGTTGGAGTAGAACCGCGCCCACCGGGGCCGCGCCCGCGTCCACCGCGGCCACGACTGGGGCCACGCCCGCCACGGTCAGAGGAGCGGTCGGGCTGCCGCTGGATGACGCCGCCAGTTGATGCAGAGTCGCCGCCACCCCCACTGGAGCTGCCGGAACCAGAGGAGCTGCCGTGGGTGGCGATGAGAGTAGTGGCGCCCGCCGTACGCGCGCGTGCATCCAAGCTGATGTCCTCCAACATCAGCCGGCAGCGGGCCTGCACAAATGTGGGGAAGGGAACTTGCATGTGGAGCAGGGACGCCATGACGCCGAACCGGGGGGAGAGTCCACGGATGAGCTGGAGGGTGAGGGTTTTGTCGGTGACGTGTTCGTCGAGGTCGTCGAGGGAGTCCGCGAGCGCCTTGAGGCGCCGGCAGTACTCGGCGATCTTCATGTCGCCCTGAACAGTGGCGCGGAACTCGGCGCCGACGTGGATGGCTCGGCCCGCGAGGTTGTCGCGGAAGAAGGCGTCGAGTAGAAACCAGGCATGGTAGGCAGTGGAATCTTGGGCGGAAATGACATCATAAAGTTCATCCGTGATCGTACCGTAGATCATGAGGAGGATCTGGAGATCGTCGTGGCGCCACTGCGCGGTCTGGGTGCGCGGCTCGAGGTTGACGAGGACGTGGCTCTCCATGCCAGATTTGCAGAGGATGAAGGACATGATGCGCCTCCATTTGGAGTAGTTGCCGCAGACGGCGTCCAGCTTGAAGTCGATGTGGGCGCCGACGTTGACGGCGTGGATCGAGGGAGGAGGCGCCGTAGAGGACGACGCGGCGTCGGCAGTCACCGCGCCGAGCGGCGCGACGGTGAGATGCAGGGGAGCTGTGGCCGGTGGAGCGCTCTGAACGGTGGAGGGTGCGGAAGCAGTGGGCAGGGAAGCATTGGCGCTAGGGAGGGGTGGGCTGTCAGAGGCGACGCCGGTGTCGGGCTGTTCGCCGGCGTCGGAGCCCTCATCGGAGGCATGCGAGCCGGCCATGGGATATAGGGAGGAAAGGTGGCTCTGGTGCCAAGAAGAATGATAGGAATCGCTGAGTGAGTATTACAGAGGAAGGCATTGCCTTATATACACACGAGGAGCACATGAGTGCATGGCGATCCGTCACAACAGAAGGAGCTAGTCTCCAGGAGCGCCGTGCGCTAAGCAGCGTGGCCAGCGGGAGTGGCCACGATCACCGCGTGCGGGGCGGACGGAGCGGCGTGGGCGGAGTCCACAACAGCCGTCTTCCAACACCACTAGCTAAAGTAATGTGTAAAATTAATCGATTCTTCTAAGTAAGATTACTACTTGCAGCAGATTCATTGTCTCAAAAAAAGAAACACGTACTTGCGGCAGATCTTCTTGTTTCGGCTGTAGCTTTCTGCGAGGGCTCTCATGCTGGGGTCCGTAAACCAACCACCCTCGCGGCCGCGAAACCCGCCGGGCAGATGAAGCAGCAGGTGGAGAGTGGAGTCCTTGTGGACGTCGTACTCGGCCAGGCTGCGGTCGTCCTCCAGCGGCTTCCCGCCGAAGATGAGCCGCTGCTGCTCCGGCGACACACCTTCCTCACCATCGATCTTGGCCTTCACGTTGCCGATGGTGTCCGTGCTCTCGACCTCGAGGATCACTGTCTTCCCCGTCGGCGTCTTCACAAAAATCTGCATCCTGATTGGCTTTTCCGTTGGTGTTTTCTTGTGCTCTTTGGTTCCGTGCCGTGAGTTCGGCCTAATATAGCCGGCCGGCGGCCACGCTCAGGACGTTTCCCTCAACTACTAATTCAGTTTCTTGATTTACCCGTATTAGATTCGAAGAGGAAGCACGCCCATCAAGTTACCGAGGAGCTCCCGCAAAACTCGCTCTTACCGTCAAGACGCTCCTAAAACACGCACGGATCCGGCTTGCCTGCTCCCTTCTCATGCTCCCATCCGTGCTCCCTTCCCATCCTATGGCTGTCCTTTTTCCTTTTTCCTTTCTAATATAATGATCTCCCCCCTGATTTTAAGGAGGTGGGGCCGGGCCTTATTTTGGTCCAATCAAATCAAGCCACGTATGCGGGAGCACGGATGGGCGCACGTGAGGGGAGCAGGTAAGTCTCGTCCAAACACGCACTGGGCCTCGGCCTATTACGATGCCATCATCGCTCTCGATCACTCTGCGGGCTTGCTCGCTTGGTGTTTCTTCACCTCAGCTTCGCTCTGCTGCTACCCAGGGAAAAAACATGCAATGATTTTTTTAAGATTTTAAAAGTTGTTTGCGATAATGATTTTTAAAAATATTTGAGATTTAAAAAATTCAGGACTTAATAATAAGTGTTCTTGAATTTTAAAAATTGTTCATAGCTCTTAAAGAATGTTCAAGATAAATAAATGTTCACAAAATTTTATAATATTCATGTATTCACAAAAATTATTACAAATCACAATTTTTGAAAAGATTGCACGGAGTTTAATACAATTCATGATTTAAAAATGTTCATGAAACTGAAAATTTGTTTCCTTGACTTTATAAAAATGTTGGGAATCATAGTAGGAAAAAAACAACCTGCGGAATTGAAAGCAAGATCATTATGAACATGCATACAAGGTTAGATTTGAATGTTACTAACTTTGAGTTGCAGTGGAAGAAGAGTTGGTGAAGATCAAGTTCTTGAAATCCCACGAATGATTCCCTCTAATGTACGAGCCCTTATGGATTGCAACTAGAGGCTTACTAGGGACATGTTGTGGTCTATGTATTCACACATGTATTACGATTTCCGGATAACACAATTATAGCATGAATAACAGATAATTATCATGAACAAGGAAATATAATAATAATAATTTTATTATTGCCTCTAGGGCATATTTTCAACACTCTCCCACTTGCACTAGAGTCAATAATCTAGTTACATTGTGATGAATCAAACACCCATAGAGTTCTGGTGTTGATCATGTTTTGCTTGCGGAAGAGGTTTAGTCAACGGATCTGCGACATTCAGATTCGTATGCACTTTGCAAATATCTATTCTCCATCTTGAACATTTTCACGAATGGAGTTGAAGCGACGCTTGATGTTCCTGGTCTTCTTGTAAAACCTGGGCTCCTTGGTAAGGGCAATAGCTCCAGCGTTGTCACAGAAGAGAGTGATCGGCCCCGACGCATTGGGTATGACTCCTAGGTCAGTGATGAACTCCTTCATCCATATTGCTTCATGCGCTGCCTCCGAGGCTGCCATGTACTCCGCTTCACATGTAGATCCCGCCACGGCGCTTTGCTTGCAACTGCACCAGCTTACTGCCCCACCATTCAAAATATACACGTATCCAGTTTGTGACTTAGAGTCATCCAGATCTGTGTCGAAGCTAGCGTCGACGTAACCCTTTACGACAAGCTCTTCGTCACCTCCATAAACGAGAAACATATCCTTAGTCTTTTTCAGGTACTTCAGGATATTCTTGACCGCTGTCCAGTGTTCCATGCCGGGATTACTTTACTACCTTCCTACCAAACTTACGGCAAGGTTTGCATCAGGTCTGGTACACAGCATGGCATACATAATAGACCCTATAGCCGAGGCATAGGGGATGACACTCATCTTTCTCTATCTTTTGCCGTGGTCGGGCATTTAGCCGAGCTCAATTTCACACCTTGCAACACAGGCAAGAACCCCTTCTTGGACTGATCCATATTGAACTTCTTCAATATCTTATCAAGGTATGTGCTTTGTGAAAGACCTATGAGGCGTCTCAATCTATCCCTATAGATCTTGATGCCTAATATGTAGGCCGCTTCTCCAAGGTCCTTCATTGAAAAACACTTATTCAAGTAGGCCTTTATGCTGTCCAAAAGTTCTATATCATTTCCCATCAAAAGTATGTCATCTATATATAATATGAGAAATTCTACAGAGCTCCCACTCACTTTCTTGTAAACGCAGGCTTCTCCATAAGTCTGCATAAACCCAAACGCTTTGATCATCTCATCAAAGCGAATGTTCCAACTCCGAGATGCTTGCACCAGCCCATAAATGGATCGCTGGAGCTTGCATACCTTGTTAGCATTCTTAGGGTCGACAAAACCTTCTGGTTGCATCATATACAGTTCTTCCTTAAGATAGCCGTTAAGGAATGCCGTTTTGACGTCCGTTTGCCATATCTCATAATCATAGTATGCGGCAATTGCAAACATGATTCAGACGGACTTCAGCTTAGCTACGAGAGAGAATGTCTCATCGTAGTTAAGCCCTTGAACTTGTCGATAACCCTTAGCGACAAGTCGAGCTTTACAGATGGTAACATTACCATCTGCGTCCGTCTTCTTCTTAAAGATCCATTTATTTTCTATCGCTCGCTGATCATCAGGCAAGTGTGTCAAAGTCCATACTTTGTTTTCATACATGGATCCTATCTCGGATTTCATGGCTTCAAGCCATTTGTTGGAATCTGGGCCCGCCATCGCTTCTTCATAGTTCGAAGGTTCACCGTTGTCTAACAACATGATTTCCAGGACAGGGTTGCCATACCACTCTGGTGTGGAACGTGTCCTTGTGGACCTACGAAGTTCAGTAGTAACTTGATCCGAAGTACCTTGATCATCATCATTAATTTCCTCTCTAGTCGGTGCAGGCACCACAGGAACATCGTCCTGACCTGCGCTACTTACCGGTTCAAGAGGTAGTACTTCATCAAGTTTCACTTTCCTCCCACTTACTTCTTTCGAGAGAAACTCTTTCTCCAGAAAGGACCCGTTCTTGGCAACAAAGATCTTGCCTTCGGATCTAAGGTAGAAGGTATACCCAATGGTTTCCTTAGGGTATCCTATGAAGACGCACTTTTCCGACTTGGGTTCGAGCTTTTCAGGTTGAAGTTTCTTGACATAAGCATCGCATCCCCAAACTTTTAGAAACAACAGGTTAGGTTTCTTCCCAAACCATAATTCATACGGTGTCGTCTCAACGGATTTAGACGTTGCCCTATTTAAAGTGAATGCAGCTGTCTCTAGAGCGTATCCCCAAAATGTTAGCGGTAAATCGGTGAGTGACATCATAGATCGCACCATATCCAATAGAGTGCGATTACGATGTTCGGACACACCGTTACGCTAAGGTGTTCCAGGCGGCGTGAGTTGTGAAACAATTCCATATTTCCTTAAGTGTGTACCAAATTCGTGACTTAAATATTCTCCTCCACGATCTGATCGTAAGAACTTTATTTTTCGGTCACGTTGATTCTCTACCTCATTCTGAAATTCCTTGAACTTTTCAAAGGTCTCAGACTTGTGTTTCATCAAGTAGACATACCCATATCTACTTAAGTCATCAGTGAGAGTGAGAACATAACGATAGCCACCGCGAGCCTCAACGCTTATTGGACCGCACACATCAGTATGTATAATTTCTAATAAGTTGGTTGCTCGCTCCATTGTTCCGGAGAACGGAGTCTTGGTCATTTTGCCCATGAGGCATGGTTCGCACGTGTCAAATGATTTGAAATCAAGAGACTCCAAAAGTCCATCTGTATGGAGCTTCTTCATGCGTTTGACACCAATGTGACCAAGGCAGCAGTGCCACAGATATGTGGGACTACCATTATCAATCTTACATCTTTTGGTATTCACACTATGAATATGTGTAACATCACGTTCGAGATTCATTAAGAATAAACCATTGACCAGCGGGGCATGACCATAAAACATATCTCTCATATAAATAGAACAACCATTATTCTAGGATTTAAATGAGTAGCCATCTCGTATGAAACGAGATCCAGATACAATGTTCATGCTCAAAGCTGGCACTAAATAACAATTATTGAGGTTTAAAACTAATCCCGTAGGTAAATGTAGAGGTAGCGTGCCGACGGTGATCACATCAACCTTGGAACCATTCCCGACGCGCATCGTCACCTCGTCCTTCGCCAGTCTCCGTTTATTCTGCAGCTCCTGTTTTGAGTTACAAATATGAGCAACCGCACTGGTATCAAATACCCAGGAGCTACTACAAGTACTGGTAAGGTACACATCAATTACATGTATATCACATATACCTTTAGTGTTGCCGGCTTTCTTGTCCGCTAAGTACTTGGGGCAGTTCCGCTTCCAGTGACCGTTCCCTTTGCAATAAAAGCACTCAGTCTCAAGTTTGGGTCCATGCTTTGGCTTCTTCCCGGCAACTAGCTTACCGGGCGTGGCAACTCCCTTGCTGTCCTTCTTGAAGTTCTTTTTACCCTTGCCTTTCTTGAAACTAGTGGTTTTATTGACCATCAACACTTGATGTTCCTTTTTGATTTCCACCTCCGCTGATTTCAGCATTGAAAATAGTCCAGGAATAGTTTTCACCATCCCCTGCATATTGTAGTTCATCACAAAGATCTTGTAGCTAGGTGGGAGCGACTGAAGGATTCTGTCAATGACCGCCTCGTCTGGGAGGTTAATGTCCAGCTGGGACAAGCGGTTGTGCAACCCAGACATTTTGACTATGTGCTTGCTAACAGAACTATTTTCCTCCATCTTACAACTTTAGAACTTGTCGGAGACTTCATATCTCTCGACCCGGGCATGAGCTTGGAAAACCATTTTCAGCTCTTGGAACATCTCATATGCTCCGTGCTTCTCAAAATGCTTTTGGAGCCCCGGTTCTAAGCTATAAAGCATGCCGCACTGAACGAGGGAGTAATCATCAACAC